CTGTTCCCTCAGGGGCTCATTACAGTCATTAGGGTTAAGTGGTTTAGTCTTTCGCTCTGTGGTCTCTAAACCCTAAACCCTAATGAGGTTTTCTAGCTGCCACTTTACTCTCTTAAAGGAAGCAGCAGCCCCTCAAGCGCTGCTAAATAGCTGCCAAGTGCGTGTGCAGTTCTTTTGCTGCTGCCTCACTAAGGCTACGCGTAGCCACTTCACAGCAGCAGCAGCAGCAGCAGCAGCAGCGACAGCAGCAGCAGAAGGGGAGTGCTCCCGATTTCGCAGTTTCTACTGCAGCAGCAGACATAGTTCCCCTTCGCGGGTGCTGTTTGCTGCGGAGGGGCGGAGGAGTTAAAGGCGAAATAAAAGGCTGGAAAGGGCACAGCGCGTGCAGCACCAACAGGGCAAGCAGCCTCTCGCGAGAACCGCAGCCGCAGCAGCAGCAGCAGCAGCAGCAGCGGGAGGCCCCAGCAGCAGCAAAAGGGGAAAAGCGGCTTTAGCGGCCGCAGGTGAGCCCCCTAGAGACGCATCTTGAGGCGTTTGGAATGTCTGTGGTTGAGCGCTGCTGCTGCGGTGTCTGCTGCTGCTGCTGCTGTGGGGCGGGGCGGGAGAGTGCGGGCGCCTCCGCGTCGGCTTTTTCTCGCTGGAGAGTTTAAAAGGGACTAAAAAGTGGAATTAAAGATTTAAAAGGTGAAAAAGAGGAAAAGGGAGGAGAGAGTGGCCCCGAACGCGCCCCCGACCGCAGCAGCAGCAGCGGCGTATTAGCCAGCCGGAGGAAGCCCCCACTGCATGCGCTGCTGCGCAGGCGCCCCCCGAAACTGGGGGAAGCCTCGGCCCATTTTTTGGTCTTTTACGTCTCTTTTTGCATTTAAAACGCTGCGAAAAGTCGCGAGGTGGTTTTGGTGTCCCGCGAAGAGGAGGGCCGTGAGCGCGTTCGAGGCCGCGAGAGAGCCAGCAGCAGCAGCAGCAGCAGCAGCAGCACTTGCCGCCACTCCGTTCCCCACCGCGTCTGCAAGATGGCTGC